ACTAGGAGTCCATACAGCGTTCTTCTTCATCTGCTTGCGCAGGACGGCCATTTCGTATTCGGTCAACTTCTTCCAGGGCGCCCATTTGCTGCCGGGTTTCGCGTCGGCTGGTGGTGGGGCCAATTGTGCGAGCGCATTGCTGGTGGATATGCCGGCGATGGAGCTGTGCACGTTGGTACCGAGTACGCCAGCAGCGCGCGACCTGCCCCCAGTTGCCCTTGAATGTCTGTCCCGGTTGTCCTTGCGCTTCCTGGGTGAGGCCACATCGATGCCTGAACCACCATCTGAGTCTGACGAGTATGTTGCACCACGGCGCCCCCGTCCGCGTGGCAGGGGAATGGCGGTCTTTCGGTGCCTGTCTCGGGGTCGTGAGGTGTTGGCGCCATGTCGGCCGCCATCGAAGGTGAGGCGCAGATGGGCGGGGCGTATGTAGTCGCGGTTTACGGGTCGGTGGGCGCTGGGAGAGACTGGCGGGGGCGTCGGGTCGCGTGAGGGCGGCTGTGGCTGGGCTTGGAGTTTCCGCTTGATGACTGATGAGCGCTGGCAGTGGCGGACGGTGACCTCATACAGTCGCGACGCTTCTGTGTAGGCAAACTCTCGCTGATTGATGGCCTTTTGAAGATGCTGGGCAATGTTCTTGCGTAGTAATACCGGGTCGGGGCGCTCTTGCTCGGGGAGGGCGGGCAGCTTGCCATACTGGACCGTCAGCTCGTGCACCTGCTGGACGGCGTCCGAGTAGGTCGAATCGAGGTCGGCGATCAGCGTCAGCGAGCGCACCAGGTCCGACGGGAAGAATTCGGTGTAGTCGAGGAAGTCGTTGACCGTCGTCTGGGCGTCCGGGTTCGGGGCGGGTTGGGCCATTTCTGGCGCATCGTCGGCTTCAGACATGGCGCATCGCGGGGAGGCAGAGTAGATGGAGGGTTGCGACGCACGCGTCAGACTCTCCAGCCACGCGTCAACTAGAGTATTGAGGAGAATCAGCGCGATCGTGAGGGCGCGAGTTGCGATATGCGCTGACAAGATAGGGCGGCTGATGGGAGCTGGTCGCACTGAGGTTCGCGGAGGGAGTTCGTGCTAGCCGCTTTGGGCGCGCCTCTCGTCGATCGCTCAGGAACGCCCATGCGCTTGCGAGTTTGCCCAGCTGCCGGCTCGCCCCGCAACACCCCATCTGTACCTAGCGACTGTATCGTCCTTCACTCTCGTGCGTCACCTTACTGGCAAGAAAATGTGTCACGCTGACCTTATGCCTGAGAAGGCTTTGCATCTGCACCTACCTGAGTCGGTATGTGATTCCACGGACATCTAGGTGGCATAAGGTGCACCTTTCGTGATAATGCACCTTCAAACACACGTCTTCTCAAATCTACACCGTGCGCCTTCAGTTGATACATCTCCTTTGTAAAGACCACTATCAGATCAAATCAGACTCTCTTTCCAGTTCTCTCACATGTCTGGGTGAGGCTCTCGCTCACCGCGCCTGTCGTTTGCTCCTCCCTCATCCCTCATCCGTCTGTCCAAGCGCGATCCCCGCATATATCTTCGCGCTTTCTATCGCAAACAATTCCACCAGTTCCATTCGTCAAACATCCACCATGTCTTCGGCACAGCTACAGCGTCTTCGGAGGTTCGTCCAAACAGACCTTGATGCTCTCCCTGACCGCCCCGTGTCTCCACAACCTGAGCCCAACCCAGAACCCAAACCTGACCATGCCAGCTACAACGACTCCACTGGCGGTGTATCGCTGGAGAACGCACTGCCGAATGTGCCTGCTAGCAAACAAAACTCAACCAGTAAGATCGATACATCCATAAAGGCACCGCCTGCCGTCGAGAACACCGAGCGCCGATACGTCTGGGTCAAAGACGCCGATAGCTCCTTCAACCCAAACCTGGACTCGATGCGCCTATCCACCGCCTCGGCTCCAGCTCCTCGAACTGATGCCGCTGGTCTTCCGGCTACCGATCTGCAACGTGGCGACCTAGCCTCACCTCGCCATCACTTCACACCCATCCAGGCCCTGTCCAAGTACCCTTACAAGTACTGCGATAAGAGTCATATGCAAGACATTGCATCTGCCTTCTTCGATCAAGGAAAGTTTTGGCAGCGAGAGTGGGACCTGTAAGTTCATCTCCTTAAAGTACTATGAAGAAGAATATCACCGCATCGCGACAACGCTCACCACTCACTCACTTGCTAATCTCACCAGGTATTACGTCTGGGACATCGAAGAGACCTCAAAGCCCTTCGTACTCGTTCGTGAGAGTCAAGTTCTAGCCTTGCTTGGTGAGATCAACAAGCACCTAAATCTCTCTTTGAGGATCAGCGACCAGCAGCGTGAGGAGGTAACATTGCCCACTCACACGTACTGCCGGAACATATAGACTGACATTCGTCCCCAGGGCCTACTCGTGCAATTCCCAGATCATCCTCGCTGCTTGCCTCGATACCTTGGACGATCGCACTCGCGCGAAGACGTCGACAGCATGGCCGAGAATGCCCCCAACGAGCACTTCCGCGCGGCAGGCGAATCTTCACATCCACCGCTTGAACAACCCACTCTGGAGGACTTCAAGCAACTGATGGAGAACCTGGCCGAAGCACAGAAGGCGAAGAACAAGGCGAACAAAGCAAAGAAGCAGCAAGAGCGGTTGGGCAAGAACAAGTCAATGACGGATCAGTTCAAACGCGCTTCAAGGTATCTCGGTCTCCGCGATTCCATCCAGGATCCGACAGCGTCTACCTTGTCTCCTGCAGTCGATCCATCCCAGCCAGCTCCATTCTCCTTCGATCAGTCTGTCGTCTTCGTCTGTGTTGATGTTGAGTCGTACGAGAGGGCCCATCACAAGATAACTGAAGTCGGTGTCGCCACCTTGGATACACGGGAGCTGGTTGGTGTACCGCCTGGCAAGGACGGGGAAGCCTGGAGAGAGAAGATCCGTGCCCGTCACTTTCGCATCAAGGAACATCGTCACCTAGTCAACTCCGAGTTTGTTGCTGGACATCCTGACAGCTTCAAGTTCGGCCACTCGACCTTCATATCACTCAAAGAAGCTGCGAGTCATGTCGCAGCCTGTTTCCACGCCCCTTTCGCCGCCGAAAACGACGACAACTTCCTCAGCCACTTTGATCCTACTGAGAAGCGCAACATTGTCTTCCTCGGTCATGATACTCTAGGCGACGTTCGCTACCTCCAGCAACTTGGATACGACCCGATGAAGGTAGAGAACATCCTCGAGGCCATGGACACCGCGACCATGTACAAAGTCTGGCGTCGGGAGCAGCAGCCTACCAGTTTAGGCCGGATCATGAACGCCTTCGATGTCCCCGCGTGGTTTCTTCATAACGCAGGCAACGACGCTGTGTATACCGTGTGGGCTATGCTAGCCATCTGCGTGAAGGAGGCTACACTCCGCGGCTCACCAGAGTTGGACGACCTGCGAGAGAACGAGATGAATGCTAAACTTCAGGCCGCTCTTGAGGATGCCGAACAGAGGGTCAAGGACGATGCCGAGGGTTGGAGCGATCATGAAGCGACTGGAGACGGCGGCGTACCTGTACCCCTTGCGACTGCTCTTGCACCAAAGCCAGCACAGCCCGCGGCGAAGGGCATTCCTCAGTATGACGGTCATTCGGATTTCGGTATGGACACAGGTCGTGGCCGTGGATATCAAGGTTCGAGCGAATACCGTGATGGTGATAGACAGGGAGCTTCTCGTGGACGTGGTCAGTTTGGCGGGGAAAGCATGTCTCGTGGACGGGCAAGCAGTCATTTACAAGGAAGTAGTCGCGGTCGCGGTCGCTCAGGCTCGCCCAGGGGTGCGCCTCGGCCAGAAGCTATTCCCAAGGTGGACTACCACTGGTAGGCAGGAAGTGATGGTAGTGATTAGCGTACAGTGATGGTCACTCGGATATTGAAGGCGAGGTTCTTGGCAGGCATGTAGTCCTGCGATGGTGGATACGGGAAGATAGGTCATTGGGAATGAATGATCATGTCTCCATGAATTGGGATTATGAAATCATGATGATACACATGCATTTTATATACTATCGGAGCCAAGGAGAAAGAATAGCGCAGACGGTAAACTGCAATTTGCTACAAGCATACCCTCGTGATACCTACCCCAGACGCCAAGTAGTGCGCCCTCCAATCTGATGAGTCACCCTTCTCTGCCCATCTTCCCACCACTCTCGGTGCACTCCATTTATCCTCTTCTCTTTTAACAACCCAGTGCGCCTCTCTTCTTAGAGGTAGCAGCATCTCACGTCTTTGCGCACATCCCCTTTTCAGAGATTGCAACACCCTCTTCTCTTCTCGATAACCTCACGCTCATCTCTCGTTGAAGATTCCACCACATTCTCGTGCGCAGGCCTCTTTGGACACATCACTACTCTGCTTTTCATCTCTTTCATGCTTGTTTCTCTCTGGAAACAGCGGCACTCCACCTCGTCCTCCCTTCCCTAACTTCTCCTTACGCATCTCTCCGTGGAGATGGCTGCATTCCCCTTTTCCTTCCCTCCCACATGCTTATTTTTCTTTGTAATCATGACAGCGTCTCGTATCTCATACACAGATCTCTTTGTTTGTCCGACAGCATTCTTCTCTTTCCAACCTACGCTGTGCTCAACACCTTTTGCTCCATCAAAGCCATTGCAAACTCTGTGTTCATCGTACTGGATCGATCCGTCCTATACCTCGCCATCAATGCCAACACCCAGATTAATGGTGTCGCACTGATTGGTATAGTCTCCTGCTCTTTCTTGCTGGGAGATACCCTATCGGCACTGTCCCGGCGTTTTGGGGAGACCGCATCGCTCCGTATCCTCGTGTCATATACACGAGCCTCGCGAATGCAGTCGAGAGATCTAGTCGTCTCTTTGCGGTGTCGATCTTTGTTGCGCGAGTGTCGTTTTTGTTCTTGCTCTCGTCCTCGTCCTCGTCTTCGTCCTCATTCTCCGTTCTCATTTCCGTTCTCCTGCTTCTCATCGACCTTGCCTCAAGCTAAGATCTATCACCTTTCGGCTTGGACGGGCTCCTGCTCACTCGCGATCTCTCCGGTGCCTTTACCGGTGCCTTCGCCGCTGTCTTCGCTGGCGACTTTGCCCTGGTCTTCGCCGGTGACTTGCCACGTCCCTTCGCACCCTCTTCGTCTGTCTCTTTCTCACCCTTCATCGGCGACGCCGAGATTCTGCTCAAAACATTCTCGTTGAGAGATCCGACAGGCTTGCCGGCGTTGCGCGTGCTCCTGGTGTTGGGTGCCTGGGATTGGGATGGAGCCGGGGGCGCAAGATGGGCGGTGCTGGGTACGTTTGTTGCGGAGGTGTTGGGGGTTGTGGTGGTGTTGGTGTTTGGGCCTGCTGATTCTTCGGTTGTAGGGTTTGTTTCTGGTGCAGCATCTTCGTTCTCGGCCGGAACTTGGGGTGGACCGCGGACTTCAGTCGTCTCGTCTCCTTCGCGAGACGCATCAACAACGTTCTCCGTCATCATCTCGTTCAGAGATGGAGTCTGCTCATCACCCAGGTCGACCGTCGTCCTCGACGCCTTTGATGATCTAGGCAGTCGCTGCAACGATCTAGGTGGCATCTGTGACGACGGCGGCGGCTCCTCACCGTCATCATCTGTGAAAAGCCGCTTCATAACCGGTGTCAGAATGACAGCGGGCTTGCGAGTAACGGCAATTGGAGTCATGTCCTCCAAAGCCAGCGTCTGCTCACCGCCAAGGTCCTCCTTAGTCCTCGGGACCTGAGACGGCTTTGGTGAACCTTCTTCGTCGTCGACGTTGATCTTCCGCTTGGTAGCTGGAGTCAGCTCGATGGCGGGGATGTCGACGTCGGGGATATCGCTGACGACCGGAGGCGGCTGCTTATTTGGACTCGGCGAAGGCATGGCGTAGAGATCGTCGTTGCTGTGATCGCTTTCATCGATGATGGTATCGCCGTCGATGACGAGAGTATCGCCGTCAATGACGAGAGTATCGCCATGAGTGTTGGTCTCGGCGTTATCTGCGTCTTGATTGGGAAGCGCTGCTGCCTCTGCGCCAACTTCGTCGCCCAAGCCGTATGTGAAAGTGCCTGAGTTGTCCGCGTCGCCCTCGAAAGAATCCCAGAATAGGTCGATAGATGCGTCGCCATCGTCTTCTGTCTGTGCATCTTGGCCTGCTTCTTGTACGGCGAATTTGAATGCCGGTCCACCGCCAGGCGTCAGTAGATTTCCTATCGGAATCTCGGTGTTCTCGCCGCTAAGTCTGAGCTGTTTGATCGGTCTGGGTGTCTCGCCCTCATCATCAGACTTTCGCTTCAGTGCCTTCAACCTTTCTAGATATACCGGGAGCCCGATTTCTCTGGTGTTCCAGTCTTTGATGAGAGTTTCGTGATCGGGTGTGTATCCTGACTTTGGCGTCGAGGCCGTGACAGCAGTTTCTGGAGGGGCGGATGTAGTGGGAAGGGGTGTAGATGGGCTTGTAACTCCGGCGACGGAAACGAGACGTGGCTGGTAATCGAGGGGATGGTCGGAATAGATCGCACTCGGTGGCTTTTGCGTCTCAGATGGAGTGGGCGACTTCGCCGCGGTGACAGCCATCTCTGTGGCTTTCGCACCGTCAGTCTCCGACTTCAGCTTCTTCACTTCCATCTCCAGTGTCTCGCGACTAGCAGCCTCATTCCTAAGCTTCTCTTTGAGCTCATCATTCTCCTCGTTGAGAGCGGTCTGCACCTGATCGTTGACCTCCTTCGCCTCCGCAGCGATGCCTTCCCACTCCTTGGCCTGCTCTTTGAGCGCGGTGACTTCCTTGCTATGCCGTAATCGCACCTCATGGAAGTCTTTCTCCATCGAAGCTGCATCAGCTCTGCCCTTCTCTTCTTCTTCTCGGGACGCTTTCAACTGCATGGTTAGAGAAGCTGCGTTGGCCTCTGCCTCTTCCTTCTCTTCTTGGACTTTCCCCACGAGTTCTTTCACCTGGGCCAAGCCAGATCCAGCGGTTTTAATGGCTTCGTTCGCGCAACCCAATTGCTCCTTGACTGAGAGGAGTTCCACGTTAGCCATCTGCGTCTCTTGTCGTGCAGCTTCTAGCTCGGCCTCCAGGGAAGCCACTTGAGCTCTAACCGCCTGAGGCTCTTGACCACGAGAAGCCAGTAGCGAAGCGACTTTGGCTTTCGCCCCATCGGCCTCTTCTCGCACCAGGCGTAGCTGCTCGTCCTTGGAAGCAGCCTCCATCTTGGCGTCTACAGCCTCTTGTCGCGCCGCCCGAAGTTGATGCCCCATATCCTCCAGTGCATCTCGCTTTGGAGTTGAGGAGTTGTGAGACGAGGTGGACATTCTACTCTGGTGCGCAGGCTTGCTCGTAGACTGCTGGAGCTCTTTGACCAGCGCATTGCTACGTTTCAGTTGATCACTCGTCTCCTTGAGTGCCTCTCGCAATTTGCGGACCACTTCTGGTGTTGCTGTAGGCTCTTCGCGAGCAGGTGTCGCAAAGTCTGGAACCTCGTCGACCTGTGTAGTCCGGCGAGTACGATCAGACCTCGCCTTCTCTTCCATCTCATGCTCCTTCTGCTGCTTCTTCGCAACTTCTAGCTCTTTCCGTAGACCAACATTCGTCTTAAGCTTAATATGAAGCCAGTTAATAACGCGCCAAGTGATAGCCTTCCATGTGTTATGGTCGACTCCTGGTGGAGTCCTTGCGCCTTTCCAGATCCTCATCACACTTACAGTGCCCCGAATTGTCATGGCGGAGTACAACGCATATTCGAGGGCGCGATATTCGAGAGCGGAATTGGCCTTGTTCATGATAGTGTAGCCGGCGCTTACAAGCTTGAACAGAGTTGGTGAGACGATAGCGTCCATTTTTGCGGCTGTGTTGTTGGAGGTGGCGGAAGCGGTGACTGTTGATGTTTTGTTTGTGGTCTTCTTGATGGTGTTTGTCGCGGTCCTGGCGCCGGTCGCGAAGTTGGTACTGACGCCTTGCAGGAGATCGGATGTCTCTGGCGCAGTATTCAAAGGGGTAGTAGATGGATATTTCCTCGCTACTTGTCACAGCGCTGATGGGTATGTTAGTGATGGTGTGAGTGGGATGATGAGGCGGGGGCTGGACTTACGCTGATAGCGTGACTGCGGTAGAGACCTTGTCGCGCAGGTGTTCGCTTGTTCGGTTGCGGTGTATTTCCTTCGGGTTATTTCCCTGGACTTCAGCGTCTTCGATGCTACTGCGGTTGCTGATGGATGCGGGGGTACGCGTTGTGGTGTCGTCGCGGTATCGTCGCAGTGGGCTGAGAATATCCAAGATAGAGGGGTAGCAGAGTCGCGACTCAATGAATGCAAAGAAACAGAAAATCTCTTGTTTACACTCGCTAAGTCGCAATAGTGTGCGCTGACGTAACGGAAAAGTCACGTTGTTGGAAGTTTTTGGTCTTTCACTGATGCGATCGGGAGCCAAACAAAGGAACAAAGAGATAAGGATACAGTCATAGCTGGGTTCGAGAAGACACACGGAGTAATGGAAAGATGTTGCGTTTACATATGCCTTTTGCAGAAATGATATCTAGGAGGGAAGATACATACTAGACGTAGCAACTGAACCTCGGGGTTGCCCACCAAGTTCCCCCAGCCATGATGCGGTCGGTGTCGCACTCCGAAGCTCCAGATGACAACGCTCAAAGCGCGCTCGCCGAAACGAAGTCTTGGTACGCGTATACCAGCATTGCTATAATGCGCGATCGTAGACCGTGATCGCCATATGCAACAACCTCTGAACCAGAATGTCGCGCTCTCCACCTGCCATCGAGTGTTCTACTTGCTCTTCTGCCCCCACCACGACTCCGCCTCCGCCGCTTTCCACTCATCATACTCCCCCGCCGCACGTTCAATCACAGCCTGCTCAGCAGCCGCCTGCCACGTCTTCGCCAAATGACCGTTCTTGAGATCTTCCTGGAACTTGGCGACATCGGTACGGAAGCAGTTGTTTGCCAACGTGAAGGCTGAAGGCCGTGTGTCTTCTGTGTTGCCGGCGCTGATCTTGGCGAGGAGAGCTTGGTGCGCGGTGTTCTCGGGGAGCATGGAGATGAGTGTGGTTTGCTGTTCTGCACTGAGACTGGTCCAGGCTGGTCCTTCAAGAAGCATGTGCTGCGATGTGTGAGCTCTTTGATGTGTGGATAGTGAGGAGATGGCGAAGAAGACTTACGTAGATGTCGGCTTTGACTAGGCGGCTGGAGGAGTTTGTAGTGATGTAAACTGGATCGAAAACTTTGCTTGACCCTTTCTTCGTCGGGGCAGCTTTGGGAGTGGGCTTTTCCTCAAACTCCTCGAACCGCTCTGGTGCTTTGCGGTTGCGCGAGGGGCGTGAGCTGGGTGTTGCTGCAGGAGCGGGTTTCTTGGCTGGTGCTTTCTTCGGGGCCGGCTTTTTGAGCGCAGGCTTCTTTGGAGCAGGCGTCTTCTTCTTCGTAGTCTTGGCTTTTGTTGCTGAGCTTGTACTCCTGGCTGCGCGTTTGGGAGGCGGTGTACCGAAGGCGGGCTCTTCGTCGTCATCATCGACTTCTTCGTGAGACCTCTTCGGGCTCTGCTTGGATGCGCGTTTAGCGCCCATGTTGGATGTCGGCATAGTAGTAGACGCAGGCGCCAGCGCTTGCTGAGGTAGGGAAGGAGACTCGATCGATGGCATGATGGAGGAGTCGTTTTCTGTTGTTGAGATGGCAGAATCTGGGACTTGGCTCGGCAGACTTGAGGGAATGGCTGAGACCTGCTCGGATGGAGAAGAGGGCGGTGAAGATAGAGGTGAGGAGTCTGGGTCAGAGTGGTGCATCTTGGCTCGTTTGTTTGGTGTCTTTGGAGGTGGTGCAGTGGTTTGCTCTGAGTTTGGTGCGGGCGGAAGAGGTGTCGGTTGATAGTCGTGTGGAGAGGTGAGTCGGGTGGCGGATGAAGGTCTATGATTGTCAATCGAAGCTGAGGGAGACGACATATGGGTTGCCAATCCGCGTTGAGCTTTCTATTGTCGGGCAGTGGATACAGGCGAACAATAAGCTACTGGACCAAGCGACAGTCACGTGTGAAAAGAAGAATTTCGGTGCGCGAAGTGAATGTGGAGGTCGTATTGAGAAGTTGCACAATGGTAGTCACGCGCTTGGCAGACAAGTCGTGAAGACGCCGCACGGTACATGGAGTAGTGAAGAATAGGAACGCACCTTACTGGTAACGACATTTTGTCGTTTGGACTGAATGCAGAAGTTTGATGTCGAACTTGAGCAAGTATTTTCTTGCAAGACGTCGTAAGTGCAAGTGACTACCTGGGTAAGATGAGATGCACGGCAGCTGGCAAAATGCCGGTGTGATGTCGTTTGTGTTAAGGCAGTAGCTATCGCGTTCCGCAAGGCTCATCTACCGATGGCTATGGTCGCGTTCCACTGGGAAGCTTGAGCCTCGAGCGACTTGAATCAGGGTTGAAAGCGCGTCCGCCACTCAATGGATAGAGTGAAGGTGTTGAAGGGGTACGCGAAGACAGCAGCTCGGCTCCGCATGGTGGCTGGGGCGTTGAGTTGAGGTTGTACCAGATGTGCCGTCACAAAGATACCGATATCAATCCAGACAGTCTATCTGGCCCTGTTATTCCGATTAAAGCGTCTGTAGAGTCATGAGAGACAGTGCATTGAAGGGTCACGGCATGCTGGTTGTTCGGTGATGGCCGTTGGGGCGTCCGTGCGCTTTCCCGCGCGACCTTTCCGCATCGTCATCTTTGCGATCTGGTATCATCAGCCCGACACGTATCCCCTACCACGCGACTACACATCCTCGGGCCTAACTTTGCGCTCGACATAATACTTGGCGACGCTGTACACTCACCAGCTGTAATTCTCCGCACCCTCAACCGCCGCCATGATCAAACACACCATAATATCGCGGCTCGACGGTCAGTAACTCAGCCATATTGAAGACTGCACACGTGCTTATACATGTCTAGGCCTTCATCTGGTAGCCTCGGTCGACAATAACCAGGTAACGGCGCTTCTCGAGCTGTTCACGTAGCCTAAAAATGGGACTCACATTTTCTAGAATGATGCCGAGTTCATCGAGGCCACGAACAAAGTAAAGATGTTACAGCGACGCCTAAACCGTAACGCCGAACAACAAGCAAGTATAGAGAGTGGAAACTACACATTCCAGTATGCTCTACCCTTCATCTCTGGGCGCAGCATTCGCGATCACATGCTAACGCAACCACCAGCTACATAATCGAGGGCGACCTCTGCTTCCTCTGCATATGCGACCGTTCCTACCCGCGCAAACTCGCGTTCACATACCTCTCCGACCTCCAACGCGAATTCACCACTACATACCAACCGCAACAGTACCTCTCGCCCACATGCCGACCGTACGAGTTCGTCGGGTTCGATCAGTTCATTCAGAGCACAAAGAAGACATACCAAGATTCGAGGGCGACACAGAACCTGGACAAGCTAAACGATGAATTGAAGAATGTTACAAAGGTCATGACTAAGAACATTGAGGATCTGCTGTATCGAGGAGACAGTCTGGAGAGGATGGGCGACATCTCGAGTCGGTTACGGGAGGACAGTAGGAAGTACAAGAAGGCTGCCGTGCGCATCAACTGGGAGTTGTTGTTGAAGCAGGTGAGTTCAGGACGGAAACACGTTGTGGTAGCAGACTTGGAATACTAACGATGCGCAGTACGGACCCATCGGCGGACTAGCCTTCATCATCATCGTCTTCATCTGGTGGAGATTCTTTTAGACACATGCAGCGAGTCGGCACTCAGCATGTACCAAGGAAGGCATTTCAGGCACCGTCGGCGTTAGAGGCGCATACATTGCCGAAAGAAACGGCGAAAGATACACACAACAATACCCAAGCTCCAGCTTTTCGTATACAAGTCTTCATACAATCTTCATACAACCCTGGTTCCACGATGTGAATGCTTGCGCTGTCGGGAAGACAAGGATACCCTCCCAAGCCTCTAGCTCTGATTGGCTGTAAGCATATCGTGAGCACTACATACCTCGCTAATCCTTCACACCATGTCTGCCCCACTCCACACTACCAATTTCGTTTTGCACCATTTCCTTTTGCCAGTGCAGCACACTTCGACGGATACTGCAGTGGACGACTGTGGACAGGACGTATACGGACAACACTATGCCATCGGGCAATACGACGCACGCCATGTGAACATCGCACCGAACTCGGACGCACGTGCTGGTATCGACACCATGACGAGATGATCAGATATGAGGGGGGTGTCTTGTAAGAGGAAGGAGAGGGAATATGGAGCTACAGGAGCAGACTGAGACCTTTGACTGGACTATACGGCCCACACCAACTGCCCCTTCTCTCCAGTCGGAAACAATGAAGCCAGCTAGTGCCAATGGCCCCGTGGATTGTAGGAAGCACGGGAAGAAAGACTGTCAAGATACGATGGAAAGATCGGGTCAAGAGGAATACATGCCTACTTCGAGCAAAGAGAGTGGATATATGGCCGTATCTCGGGGGACCAAATGTACAACGCATGCCACCGTGCCCTTCTCCATTTACGCCCGCGACAACCTAGTTTCGGAGTTCCGGTGCCCAAGGACCCCGGGCCATAGCATTCTTCGTGCGGAATCGCTCCATCGGGATAACTGCGCGATAAACTTCCACGTCTGGGAACTACTACGTTGGACAGCATGACTGCCATTGAGGGAGGAAGGCGCATTCGGAGTGCGCGATAAACTTGCTGGTACGGGTCGTTCTTGCCTGTTTCCCGGTTCCGAATACGACGACCTAGGAAAAGGCCAAATACCCTAGAGCCTACACCAGCGTTAGGACGCCTTCTTTGCAGGTTTTTAAGCAGACCTGTTCGCATTATTCCTTCCCATCGACGACGCATCACTGACACAATCCCTCCAACGAGCTTTCCAAACATCACCAACACCAGAATGACTAAACCGCAACTCGTTCTCATTCCAGGCGCCTGGCACACACCCTCCGCCTTCTCCCTTCTTACTACCGAGCTGCACGCTCTTGGATACACAACGCACGCGCGCCAACTCCCTTCCGTCGGCAGCACAACACCTACCACTGACCTCTCAGCCGACATCGCCATCGTCCGGTCCATGATCAACACCGCCATCGGCGACTCCGGCAACGACGTCGTCGTACTAGCCCACAGTTGGGGCGGCATCGTCGCCAGCAGCGCGCTCGTCGGCTTCGGAAAAACCGAGCGAGAAAATCGAGGGGAAAGAGGAGGGGTTACCAGATGTGGATACATCGCTGCCAGCATGCTACCCGAAGGTGTCAGCCTAATGGACTCGGTGAACCACACCTTCCCTCCCTGGACTGAAATCTCCGGACCTTACATCCACGCTCTCGACCCACATGTCTTCTACTCCGACCTTCCTCTCGACGAACAGACATACTGGTTTTCGCAAATCCAACCGCATTCGCTGGCGAGCGCTTATGCGAAGACGACGGGGGCGGCGTGG